TTTGGGACTCATAATAGATGATAAGTTAAACTGGTCAGGACACATAGAACATATTAATGATAAAATTGTACCAATGTTAGGAGCTCTATATAGGTGTTCCAGTTACTTGAGTTTCAGTCATATATACTTGGTATACATTGCATATATATTGGCGAATCTTAGGTATCTGTTAATCATATGGGGTAATTGTGGCATTACTAATTTAAAAAAAATTCAAACGCTACAAAATAAATCAATATAATAATAAAATAAACCCACACAAATGATTTATTCTCACAAACGGAACTACACCCAATTAAATATCTACTTAAACTTGAGTAATGCAAGAACATATATAAATTAAAAAAAAAATACTCAAAAGCATCAATGATCTACTAGTCAACAATCAGTTTTATGAGTATAATACAAGGGGTAGAAATGACTTACACCTGAGCATGGTAATAACGAACAAAGGATTCAATGAATTGCCCGTCCATATACGTGAGTTGTCGGGCTATAGTCAAGGGCGTACCACCTTTTGACTAAGGGGGGGGTGGAATGGGGCAATATTATTAAGGATAAAAAATAAGAAAGCCTGGTACAGTCGAAAGCATGAAGCGTTAAATTTTGGAAGTCTTTGCCTCGATGACGATTGTAATAAGAACGGTTCTGATATCAATGTATAACACTTCACAAGCCCCCGGTCTTAAAACTGCTACCAAATTTCAGAGAGTGTATTGAACAAGCGCCATCTACCGTAGAGTAGCAATACTAGGTTTTGCAAGGATTGTAGTCGATATATTCAACTGCAGGCTGTAGGTGTTTCTTATGAACACTTACAGATGGCATTGTCCACAAAACCAATTAAAATTGTATGTTCGTAACAATAACTTCTAGTTTAGGTATGCCGCATACAAATTATACAAAACTAACGTGAATGGTGGTGAACGGCTGCCGTAGAAAGAAATGCAATACACACAACACACACACACAGACACCATACCTACCTCCTACCTACATATTTTCACATTGTTCAATGGCAAATCTGATATAGTCGTGATGATAATGGCGGCGATTTTAAAAACCGATGTCAAAATCTTAATGTTATCCTGAATATTTCAATACTTTCTACAATATACATTAAACCTTTTGAATTTATTTACATTTTGTCATGCGATGCGGGCTACAATAGTTTAAAAGAACATCTGAGCCTCAAGGCACATGTCTGATGCGTTACTACTATGAGCTTTGTAGTGGTTTTCTAGTTTTTGTGTTTTACTTGTCATGTTGAATGTTTGTGAATTCCGAGACCAGCATATTTGCTGATTAGGGGGAATAACAACATATTTTATATTCATAGTGTCTTAACTGTATTGAACTGTACGCTGTACGAATACATTTCAGGTCCCCTCGACTCTGGAAAGACATTGGATCAGTGTTCAAGTGCCATGTCGGTAATTCTGAGGAATGCGCCTTGTGGCTTCTGCATTTGATTGGCCAGATCCAAGCGAAGGTTGCCGATAGATGCGACCAGCGTCAGGTGGTTTACTATTTCGACATTTTCATACTGGCAGTGGTACTCTTTTCGGGTTACGATGCCTTCGCTAAGGAACTGGAAGCAGATAACGGTCCGAGGTTGAGGGAGCTGTTTCCACAAGCTTTTGTAGCTTTGCTTCGCGATGACGGCTGGAATGTGTGCTTAGTGCAGGTAACTATGTATAAAACAATATCTTCTTCTTTACANTTTGATTTTATTCGACAATCAAACAAAAGACTATTATACAGCGAAACACGTGTCGCGATTTTGTAAACTAGCAAGTGGAAATCTCATATTAAATTGCGCTTTTTGAATACAAATACTTAGTTGATGAAATCGATCAATTGATTTTTTGCAGGCGTTAGAGTGGTTTTCCCATATGAATTCAGAAGCCAGTGTTCCAGAGCAGTATAGAATATTGTTTGGATTGTCTTTGAGGGCACTAAGACATGAAACAGAATTTATGAAGAATTCCAGGTGGATGAAATACTTGAGCTGTGTAACCAGTTTTTAATACAGTTTTTTATATAAATTCTTTTTTATGTTGGGAACCCAAGGTTAGGTTAGGTCAAGAGTGAATGGGTCTGCTCGATCCTTCACCGCAACCCGCAAGGGTTTATTGTGGCTCACACTAAGACCAAATAAACTCAGCTTCTTAACGAAGCCGATTAGTTTGCATGGTGAGTGGTCTTTCTCGTCAGATGGTAAGAGTGTGGTTATACCAAATTCTAAATACCTGATTCGGTTCATAGCGTGGCAGGCACAAAGTATATGCTCTGCCGTTTCATCATTTTCCAGGCGACACACACTGTCTTCCAACAGTCCAAGTCTCTGCATATAATGATTGAGATGACAGTGAGCTGTAAGGAAATCTGTTATTTATTTATTTGTTTAAAAACTCTACAGACCATGGCCCAGTTACAGAGTAGGAAAGGTAAATATCACAAATAGATTTGTACATACAACAAAATGACAAAAAAGTAATTAAAAAGAATATTCCACAAGTGTTATACAATTTCATACGACCTATTTCTAAAACTAGTAAGATTTTGGAATAAGATATCAGTCATTTTGTACATTATTATAGGCATTGCACATAGCATTTAATGGGGCATTTTGATAATAATTTGTTCTTGCCGATTCAATATAAAAAGTGCGAAACAATCTAGTTTCATAAGCAGGTACATTGAAATTGATATTTGATAGAAGACAAGGATCATCCACTTCACCATGTATGATTTTGTAAAAGAATATTAAGTATGCAAATACTCTTTTCTCGAGGGTTTGTATGTTGTACTTTTCAAGTAGAACTACTTTTGAAATATCAACATCATAGTTACCTGTTACGTGCTATACTTGTGACAATTATATTGAGGACACCAGATAGTGGAAGCATATTCCAAAATGCTTCTGATAAGAGTGATATACAAATGTTTGATGCAGGTAATATTGTTGAATTGCCTAAAGTTGCGAACTACAAACCAGAATAACATTATTTCAGATACACAATATGGTTTTCGTGAAAGCAAAAGCACCCAAGACACCATTGCAAAACTTACTTGCATGATATATAATGCTGTCGATAGAAAGAAAAGTTGTTTGGGTGTTTTCATAGATCTGGCAAAGGCTTTCGACACGGTTAGTCATGAGCTTTTGCTAGAAAAGTTGGAACATCTTGTTGTGAGAGGAGTGGTGTTGGTTTTGTTTAGAAATTTCCTAACAGGTAGAAAACAGCGGGTTGAAGTTAATGAAGTCGTGAGTTCGAAGGAATCAGTTTTATGTGGTGTTCCTCAGGGTACGGTCTTAGGACCGGTTCTATTCATAATTTACTTAAACTCGTTACTGAAACTGGAGTCGTCCGGACGCGTTGTTTCATTTGCTGATGACACGGTGATTTTATATACAGCAAATTCATGGGATGAAGTTAAGAAAATTGCAGAGCAAGATATGCAAAAAATAACAACATGGTTTAAAAGTAATTTATTGACTGTAAATGTTGATAAAACACATATATTACCATTCACATCATACGAATCATATTTACCCAGATACAGAACAATGTTGGGAACCCAAGGTTAGGTTAGGTCAAGAGTGAGTGGGTCTACTCGACCCTTCACCGCAACCCGCAAGGGTTTATTGTGGCTCACACTGGACCAAATAAACCCAGCTTCTTAACGAAGCCTATTAGTTTGCATGGTAAGTGGTCTTTCTCGTCAGATGGTAAGAGTGTGGTTATACCAAACTCTAAATACCTGATTCGGTTCGTAGCGTGGCAGGCACAAAGTATATGCTCTGCCGTTTCATCATTTTCCAAACGCAGGCGACACACACTGTCTTCCGACAGTCCAAAGTCTCTGCATATAATGATTCAGTTGACAGTGAGCTGTAAGGAAGTCTGTTATTTATTTATTTGTTTAAAAACTATACAGACCATGGCCCAGTTACAGAGTAGGAAAGGTAAATATCACAATAGATTTGTACATACAACAAAATGACAAAATGACACTATTATAGGCATTGCACATAGCATTTAATGGGGCATTTTGATAATAATTTGTTCTTGCCGATTCAATATAAAAAGTGCGAAACTAGTTTCATAAGCAAGTATGTTGGAATTGATTTTGATAGAAGATAGGGATCATCCACTTCACCATGTATGATTTTGTAAAAGAATGTTAAGTATGCAAATACTCTTCTTTTCTCGAGGGTTTGTATGTTGTACTTTTCAAGTAGCACTACTTTGGAAATATCAACGTCATAGTTTCCTGTTACGTGCTATACTTGTGGCAATTATACTGAGGACACCAGATAATGAAAGAATATTCCAAAATGCTTCTGATAAGAGTGATATACAAATGTTTGATGCAGGTAATATTGTTGAATTGCCTAAAGTTGCAAACTACAAACCCATACATACATCTTTGAGGCCGTGTTTGTTATATTGAGTATATGAGATAGACATCGTAATTCATCCCTTCTGTAGCCCAACAACTGTTTGTTTTCAAGCTTCGAAGGGTGAATAAACGACTTGGAGTGAACTAATCATGGAAGAATTTGAAAGAAGTCTTTAAATTTTCTTGCCATCCAGGTGTTCAATGTTTGTTTGGCAAAACCTACTCGGGAACAGTACTTTATAAGACAGTTCGTAGTTGACAGTGAGATGCATAAAATCAGAGGTCATTCCCAGAATGCTGTGACTTACAGTGTCAACCAGCATTAATTTTTGATCAAACTTGGCGTGCTTTTTTTGATCTTAGCTCTCCTATTAGGACAATTGGACTTTTAATTTCGATGTCGTAACCATATACCCATGATCCTCACCAGTGATGACCCTTTTAAGCAAATCTGAAGAGTTTAGTAGCCCGCGAAATGTGAACATTCGCCTTAATTTTTCAACGGACCTCGTATGCTTCACAATCCCATAGATTTTGAGCATTTGCTCAAAATATTCTTCAAACACAGCACCGTTCATATCTCATGGTAATCACAGAAAGCTTTGGCTCAAGGCTCAAGCATCGATAAAACACTCTCAAGAAAATCATCAACACTTCCAATGTGGGTAATAATCAGTCGTTTTCCTTTTCCACAAGGCTGCTTCAATCCAGTAGACCAGCCTTCTGAAAATGCTTGACGTAAACTTGTAATGTTGTTGTCTTACCACATCTTTCTAGTCTTATATCTATTGTCGAGCCAACTTTCTTCCAGATTATAAATCTCACTTTGAGACTCTCATCTCATGTCAATATATGATTTTGGTAAATGAATAAAAATATTGTCACCTTCAGTTACATTTATATTTCTACACATAACAGCTAAGACATGAACTTTCACATTTTTATTTTCCACAAACAACAAATCCTGCAGAAAATGGAAATGGATGGAACTAATATATTCTTGGATAAACCCATCCAGCTTTTGTTTTGTATTCCACTCATAATACTTTTGAAAATGGTACAAAAAACAGTTTTATATCAAATATAACTCAGGTCCTTTGTATTTCTGTACAGTGATACATTTCCTAACATTGTTTAATTCCCCTTTTTACACCCTGTTTTACCAAGAATTGGCAGCTTTGAAGAGAAGAATCTTGAAATCTAAATATAATACTTTGTAATCCACCAAAATCGTTTTCTTCCAAGAGACGAGCCGGCTTCAGAAGGCTATTCATGAGAAAATCATACTGATGTTTCATTATCTGCGGACGGCGCTATCGACAGTGAAGAAGGTCTAGTATCAATACGCTCTGAAATAGTCAATACCTCCTCTTCCGTTGAATAATTCGAGTGGACGTTTCTGTTCCTTTCCGCAGCATGCTTCCTCTGAGGAGTACGGTTAGGAGAAGATTTCCTACTAGTGTTGTACGATTTGAGAAGTTTGGCCCTGAAACGATCGGTTGAAACGTTTACGCAGTGTCTACCAAGACTTTTACTTACGCATCCACCAATTTCATCAGGAGTCTGTTATACTGTTGGTACTCATCGTCCCCAAAGTGGTTGGGGTCGTGCCTGGCGTGCTCGTAGAGGTCGCAGAACTGATGAATGAGTCGCTGACCGCTGCCATTTAAAGGGGCGGCCAACGTTGTCAAAAGGTAAGCTCGCAGGTTCTCGCTGGGATGCCGGACGAGACAGCTGTCCTGTTTGGTGATTTCACTCTCTGTAAATGTCACCAAGGCTGCTAAGGCTGACAATTGAGTGAAAAAATAATGGCAGTTGAAGGTAAGCTGATTAACAAGTTAACTACCCAAATAGAGTTAGAAAACTAACAGTTGAGGGAAAAAGTTTAGAGAAAGTAAACTGATAGTTTGGGAAAAAATGCTGATGGTCAGGATAAATAAGGCTTACAGTTGAGAACTGTGAGTATGAGTTGAAAAAAAAAGCAGACAGCTATTTACCTAATATTTTGACATCATCCACAGCCTTTAACCGGTAGTAGTGGGCAGGGATTTGTTGTCCGGGACATACAATGTACCTGGGATCAGTCTTGCTTATCAGCTGTGGCTCGCATTCGATTTTTTGTATCAGGTCGATTCGTCTCTCGATTTCTCTTCTCAGTACCTGAAAATCGTATTCAGAGCGATCATAAGCATTCACATAAAAGCTAATATTACTTTGGAGCCATCATGGCCTATCGGTATGTGAGGGCCTCTTCGGGAACGGAGAGCGAAGCGCATGATTTGTCTTTTGGCAAAAATGAAGAGCAGCAAGAATGTCAGGACTCCTAGTCCTATTATTATGACAACGGTGACGCCTGAAAGCTCTTCTGACATGTTCTTTGGCTTGGTTAATTTTTCCGCTACGGCTTGCATTTGGCGAAGACCGAATACTTTCAGGCCAGTGAGTATTTGGAATTATAATTAAATGTGTATGTTTCTGTGTTAGTTGATAACGAATTAGTTTGAATTATTTGTTTGTAGTATTTACTAACCTCAAATTTTTTTAAATGTCACTGTCATAACACTTCTTCTATTTTTATTGTTTTGTGGCATTGGATTTTGAGGCATTTCGGTCAAGAGTTCAAATGGTCTTGCACAGATCTCAATTATATCTTACGACTAATACGCGTTTCGATGATACCATTACGTTGTTTACAAGTGAAGTAGTGTTTTCTAACGATGTACGTTCCGGTTACTTTTTTCTTCCTCGCAGACTCCTGAATATTGACGTATAAGTGTTATTAGTTTCAACTGCTCAAATATTGATTCGATTTCTATTCTGTAATTCGTCCAACTTTGAGGCAGCAATAAATACACAAATGCGTTCTGATCCTTTGATACAGCCAAAATGCTGTATATAGTTGTCAACTAAAAAATTCTAGTGCTAGCAATAATTCGGAGGACATTATTCGCAAATTTTTAGACGAAATCGTTAATGTGTATCGCACCCTACTGAAAGTTGCGAGAACTTTCATGAGAAAATGTTTCGCAATTTTCCACACGAAATCTATGATGTATATCGGAAAGTGAAAGCGAAACTGTGTCCTGTTAGATATGAATTGAGAGTTTCAGAGTTAGAAATTAGTTTTCTTGGTATCCTGAAAATGCCAACCTGATTGGTGGAACGCGCGTCGAGAAGAGTATTGCATATCCGATTGTTTGAAAGAGTGCCTGTTTTGGATAAAATGTTAGCCTAACAACATTCAAAAGTAACGTGATGATTTCTCACTTATAATAAAATTTTATATTCTGTAATTTTCAATTTGCCTCTGAAAAATTCCATTCAACATCAATTACAGAGAATCAAGTTCACATAAACTCATGATCTGATTTTGTCAATACATGTTGAACTCGATCTTTAACTATTGTTTTCTTTTTGTTCTTGTTCATATATGTCCAAATATCCAAAAATAGCAGAGAAATATAAAGTTAGAATTTATCGTTGAACTGATGGATGAATTTTTATTTTTCTGGTGTACACGAAAAACTGACAGATACCTATTAGTAAGTATTTAATCTATATGTTTTCCTTCAGTTCTACGTTGACGGTAGCGTCACCTTGCGGTAATAGTAACCTAGAATTCTAAAAGCACTGGGAAACTGCCTGTTAAGACCGAGGTCTATTTATTATACATAACAATTTAGAAAAAGATTTTAACCTAATTTCAATTTTCGAAGTGCATGTCGATAATTTTGGAATATGTAAATATTGCCTAATTTTTTTTTGAAATTTCAGATTAGTGTCTTTTAGTTGCCAGCAAACGTTAAGAATATCGTAACTAAACAATGTCTAAAATTTTTGAGAGTGACGATGAAAATGATGTGAACGAAAATTTCCAAACCAATAATGAATATGCCAGGAACTACAGTAAATGGAGAAACAAGGAGGAACAAAACAGGCGTATGGAACTTACCGCATTTCACGTTTCATAAAGTAATTCTTGAATATGTTTCAGTGAAAACTAAGTACGGAGAAGATATCGAACAAAATGATTCTTCTTCCAGCTCCTCAGACGATGAGGAAGGTGTTGAATTAACGCCAGCTTTCGAAAAGGATTTCTTCAAAACTCTCTCTTTATTAAAGAGCAAAGACCCCAGCATTTATGACAAAAATGTTCACTTCTTTCAAGAAACAGAGAAAACTGCCAGCGGAGAGAAACCTAAGAAAACAAAAAAAGAACAACCAATGTATTTGAAAGATTATGAAAGGAAAATCATTCTTGAAAAAGGGGGCGTCTTGAGCGATGAAGAGGATGAAATTGTAAATGAAAACAAACCGAGGTATTTTTTTGAAAGAAAACATCAAATGACTTTTGAGAAATGAGCACTTTATATAATGCCTGCATTTCTAAACATTTATCAAGACCAGGTTAACTTTTTTATATTTGTAGGTCTCGCACATATGTTGAGGAGCAACAAAGCATCAAAGAGGGTTTCAAAAAACTTCTTGATGACAGCGATGAGGAAGAGGAAGATGGGTGGGGCGGCATTTTACAACAGAGGAAAAAAACTAAAGAGGAAGCAGAAAAAGAAGAAGCTGACTATAAAAGTTGGTTGGCTGGTCAGCAAACACAATTGGACGACAAAGAGGTAGAGACAGAATTGAAGCCTCTTAAAGATTATTGGAATAAACCTGATCTGGATGACGGCGAGAAGTTTTTGAGGGATTACATTTTGAAGAAGAGGTATGAAAATTCATTCAATTTCGTCTTGAAATTATTTATCAAAGTGTGAAAAGACCAAATGTATTTGCAAATGGTAGATGGTTGTTTTTCAGTTTAAAAAACATTCAGTTAGATTTATGTATTCTGTACATAATTGTTATTACTTGTATAACTCTATTTCACATACTTTCTGCTGCCTAACATATTGAAATGTAACGGTGATACAAAGCCTACATGGCTTTGATATCCATATACTATTTATATGTGTACATTTACTTGGGCTGTTATAATGTGACCATCCCAGTAAAATTCACGAAAGCAATTCCTACCAACTCAAGGAGGAATTCTCATAACACTTCTTTAATGTACATACAAATGAAGTTATTCTTATTGTTTACATTACCAAACGTTCTGATAATTTACATTTTCTGTTAGTAAGATTCATGTTTAAATAAGTACTATTATTATTCCTTTACTGACATTCCAGATTTTTGGATACGGAACAAGATGATGATTATGTCCCGACTTATGATGAAATCGTACACGATTCCGACCAAGATTTATCCAATGACGAGGAAAACATTGAAAAACAAGAAGAATTTGAGCACAAATACAATTTCAGATTCGAAGAACCCGACCAAGAGTTTGTAAGAAAAGCAACTGCCTCGCCCTAAACTTGCTTTCTCAAAGTTCCTTTCTTTTTCAGATAAAAAGATATCCTCGTACTTTGGAGGGTTCCTTGAGAATGAAAGACGACAGGAGAAAAGTCAAAAGACAAGAAACGAAAGAAAGGAAGAAGAAAGAGAAGGAGGAAAAGATGCAGGAGTTGAAGAAGTTGCAGGAGTTGAAACGACAGGAAATCGAGGAAAAGCTTGACAAACTTAAAGAAATCACGGGAAATGCCAGTTTAGGATTTGAGGTTAGTATTTGTCATTATTCATAATGTCATATACATTGCAAAATATATTTTTTAGGACAATTATATTGACGGCGACTTTGATCCTGAGGAACACGACAGGAAAATGCAAGCTCTTTTCAATGACGAGTTCTATGCTGTAGAGGAAGGCGAACAAAAGCCTCAATTTCCAGAACTAGATGAAGAGTTAGAGATTGGTAAGATACTATTATATATCTGGTTGTAACTTGCCACCTTATTACATTATTGCTTTTACAGAAAATTGGGAACGGTACGATGCTGAGAAAGAAGATTCTGGCAATCAATGGGACAATGAAAACTTTAATGTAAGTGTGTTATCATTCGATAATTTTTTGAAACTTTTTGTGTAGATGATGAGTGGACCAGGTCGAAGCCATACAGTAAAAAAAACAATACTCTCTGAAGAAGCGTACATGACAACTGGCTACCTCAAGGCTCAATCCTGGGCCCACTCTTCTTTTTGGTGTATATGAATGATTTGCCAAATGTCAAGATATTAGGACATTTTATACTGTACGTCGATGACACGACCATAATGTGGCATAGTTCAGAGTTAGAATCCTTGAATAGATGTAATTAGAAAATGGTGTTGTAATTCAAATAAGCTTTCTTTCAATGTCTTAAAGACCAAAGGGCTTTCAGAGGGTAGATTGAAAATATTTAACTAGAAGAAGAGTCAATTGAGAACAAACATCATACAAAATTCCTGGGGTTATTAATAGCAGACTGTTAGTGTAATTACCCTGGTCTGATGTAGCATTTGATGTGATACACCTGTATTTATTCGTTCATCTTTGGACTAATTTATTTTTTGTCGTATGTCTTTTTTTAAATTATTTACTTTTATTTCCTGGGTGATATGTGTTTTATTATGCGTCAATTTTTTTTAACTACTGACATAAGATACACTTTGTCAATATGAATTTTTGTTCTTCAGACAATAAAGAATATTTCTCTCTCTCTCTATGTGGCTTAAGTGTGGATCCTTAGGGGATACCTTGATTCAATTTTTCAACTTGTCAAAGTGGGTTCATGAGTTATCTCTGAGGATTTAATGGAAACATTTTTTCAGATGGATTGCGACTACGATCCCCAAGCTTCTGCACCAGACGATACCACAGAGAGTGGCAAAAGTAGAAAGAGGCGCAAGAGGAAATCGAGATTTGCGGCGGCTCTTAGCAAACCCAAACCAAAATACGACCCCAGCGATAAGAATTACGAGAAATATTTTGACGAGTATTACAAATTGGATTGCGAAGATATTGTGGGGGACATCCCATGTAGATTCAAGTACAGACAAGTCGTTCCTAATGATTTCGGACTGTCAACGGAGGAGGTAAGGAAGCTTGTGTTTCTGAACTTTAGAACGTGGATTGGTATCATAAATCATTTTTGATAACACAGTTTTTGACATGTTATTGATGATTCGAAAAGATAAGCACTCTCAATTTCAGACCCAGAATATCATTAGCTCGTTTCTTTTCAGATATTACTTGCAAATGAGCGAGAACTCAACAAATGGTGTTCACTAAAGAAGGCCGTACAAATAAGGCCGGATCACGTGGAGAAATACGAACAGATCGCTTACAAAAAAAAGGGACAAAATATCAACCTCAAAATGAAAATTCTGCCAAGTCTTTTCTCGAAAGAACCTGAAAACGTTACGAAGGAAAATGGAATTGAAATATCGAAAGAAGATAAGATTGATACAACTGCAGTTGAAAATAATGCGGATAAAAAGGAAGATGACTCTAATGCAGCACTTCAAGTCCATAAAGAAACTGTGGTAAACAATGAAAATGAAAGTTCGAAGAAAAAGCGAAAGAAGAAAGTAAAAAAAGATGAAAATCAGGTTGTGGATGAAGTTCCCATTGAAGGTGTTGTGCTGCAAACAAAAAAAAAGAAGAAGAATAAAAAGAAGAAGACTGAAACCCAGACAGAAGAGGTCACACAAACTAAAAAGAATAAACCAGTTTCTGAAGATAACTTTCAAATCAAGACTAACAAGAAAAGGAAACGAAGTGATAGTGAAGGTGTTGGTAAAAAATCCAAGACACCTAAAAAGATGCGGTCTAGTAACGATGTAACAAACATTTCGGACGCTAGACTTTCAGCATATGGTATCAACCCCAAAAAGTTCAAGAACAAGTTGAAATACGGGAAGTAGGAGCACTGCTTTTAAAAATTTCATTATGCACAGTTGTATATATAAAAAGGAAGTTTATATAATTTTATTCGAAGTATGATGTAAAATTACATTATTTTGATTATTATAGCCTTTGATTCCAATATTTACATCTTTGAATGATTTAACTTGCCTCTCTGAATGAATGACTTAGTGCAGATTTTACACCGAATTGGTGTTTCCACAATACGAGTTTTTTTCGTGATTTTTTTCAATTTTGACTTTCGATGAATGATTAGTCATCATGAGGAGTTCTACAATTTTATTTATAATGAACATTTGAAACATAACAAAGTATAAGAACAAGACGCATACAGATATTTCATTAACACATTGAAAATTATCTTTCAATAAACTAATATGTAATGAAAATGGCCGATACTTGATTAAAATCCATTTATAACTTATTTACAGTTTACAAAACAATAACACGTGTTTCAGTATACAATCAATAGCTTCTTCAGGTTTTTTTTACTACTATCATACATACAACTTGAGAGGAAGCCATTTCAGAACTTTAAAGAACATTCATATATTTTCAGAACAACTTTGAACAAATTTTTCATTTTAACGGTTTTTCTTCAGTGTGAATTTTTTCGTGTCTTTTTAAGTGACCATTTTGAATAAAAGATTTAGAGCAAATTTTACACTGAAATGGCTTTTCGCCAGTATGAATTTTTTCATGCAATTTCAAACTACTTTTCTCAGTGAACGATTTAGAGCAGACTTCACAGTGAAATGGTCTTTCGCCAGTATGAATTCTTTCATGTACTTTCAAATTACCTCCTTGAATGAATGATTTAGAGCAGATTTTACACTTGAATGGTTTATCCCCAGAATGAATCTTTTCATGTATTTTCAAATCACCTCTATGAATGAATGATTTAGAGCAAATTTCACACTTAAATGATTTATCGCCAGTATGATTTTTTTCGTGTCTTTTCAAATTGCCATATAGATTAAAAGATTTAGAGCAGGTTATACATTGAAATGATTCATTGCCAGTATGACATTTTTCATGTGTATGCAAATCACTACTTCCAATGAATGTTTTAGAGCAGATTTTACACTGAAACGGTCTCGTACCTGTATGAATTTTTTCGTGATTGTTCAATTCACCTCTTTGAACGAATGACTTAGAGCAGAATTTACACTGAAACGGTTTTTCGCCAGTGTGAATTTTTTCATGTCTATTTAAATGACCTACTTGAATGAATGATTTAAAGCAGATTTTACACTTGAATGGTCTATCGCCAGTATGAACGTTTTCATGTCTTTTCATGTGACCTCTAAGAGTAAATGTTTTAGAGCAGATTTTACACTTGAATGGTTTATCGCCAGTATGTAGTTTTTCATGTATTTTCAAAGTACCACGATGACGGAATGATTTGGAGCATATTTTACACTGAAATGGTTTATCAGCACTATGAATTTTTTCATGTGTTTTCAAAGTACCAGATTGGCGGAATGATTTAGAGCAGATTTTACATTGATATGGTTTTTCACCAGTATGAATTTTTTCATGCGCTCTCAAGTTCCCTATCTGAATGAATGACTTAGAGCAGATTTTACACTGAATTGGTATTTCCATATTATGAGTGTTTTCGTGATTTTTCAAATTATTTCTTTCGGTGAATGATGCAGAACAGATTTTACACTGAAATGATTTAGGAATATGAATTTTTTCATGAGATTTCAAATTACCTTTTTGAATGAATGATTTAGGACACCTTGTACACAGAAATGGTCTTTCACCAGTATGAATTTTTTCATGGCATTTCAAATAACACTTTTTATTGAAAGATTTAGAACAGATTTTACATTGAAATGGTTTTTCACCAGTATGAATTTGTTCATGTATTTTCAAGTTACCCCTCTCTTTGAAGGATTTAGAGCAAATTTTACAGTGAAATGGTTTCGAATCAAAATTAATTTTTTCACCACCTTTTAAATCAATACTTTCAAAGGATGACTTTGTGCAAATTCTATTATAAAGTGGGAACTTTTGCGAATGCTGGTTTTCAACAGAATTCACACCAGTTCTTTCTTTCATATTTCTTGAGCAAATTTTGTTTTCCTCATGAATTCTACTCTCACTAATTGAATTGGAATAGTATCCAGAACTAATTATTTCCTTCATCTCTTTCATATTTTCATTGATAACTTCCTCTTCATTTCCAACAACTGTCTCTTCCTTGACTTGGAAGTGAAATTCTTCGGGATCTGTAAAAAATACTAGTTCCATGAAGAAAGAAAAGCAAATTATTTCACATCATCGACACATTCTCATTCATGATGTCACAAAACATAAATTTTTCAACACATCCATAAAAAGTATTTTTTTTAGATTTTCTGTTGGGATGTCTTAGTTTCGGGATTCAAGGTTAATGAGATTTGATACATGACTTGACTTTCACTTGTACTGATTGATCTTATAGAAAAAAAAAGGTTTCCACATTAGTTTGGTGTTGGTGAATTTCATTACTTTCCATGTAGGTATCTTGCTGTTTTTTGATATTCTTAATCGGAAGATATATATAAAGTGATGGTAAAGTTAGAATTGACAATAACTTGAAATAAGCTTTACAAGATGCATTATTTCAAACTCCCAACTACCTTATATCCCTAAGATTGCAGACAGAATTGGCAAACTATTGGGAAAACACAACTATCAGCAGCAGGGGTCTATCGCATAACATGAACTTGTGGGGAGGTATATATCGGAACCACCAAAAGATCCATGGGAACAAGGCTGAAGGAGCACGAAAGAAACTGCAGACTGGGTCAAACAGACAAGTCAGCTGTGGCAGAACACGCACTCATTGTCCCTAACCAGGGATACCATAGCCGACTGGTACTGGAAGCAATAGAGATCCCCAAACACACAGATAATTTCAACAGAAAAGAAGAAGCGGTGAACCTCAACCGAATATGGAATCCCATTTCTAAGAAGTTCAAGTATAGTGGGCAGCAGGTACAAAAGAGTCAATGAATGTTCTTCGGATAAACAAAAAAAAATAAGTTTTTATAACAAATTTGTGATTGTCAACTCAGATACAACTTTCCGAGAGGCTTCCGCTTTAATTTTAATATTTTTCATGACACCTAATCAAATTCCATGTAAGTGGTTTGAAATTCAAATACATATCCTCACCTTGCATAGCATACTCATTCTGGTATTGACAAATACAGCTGCATTTTGAACTGCCAGGACTGAAAAAATCCCTTGAGATAAGTAAATTTCCTCCACACACCTCACAATATACGCCTTCATTTATTTCTTCGGGGCATTCAGATTTCATATCATGATAATCAACATCAATACCTTCACTTTTGATCTGTTCTGGATAAAATTCATTCTTTAAGGTAATCACTTGAAGTAAATCACATTTTCCTTCAGAATTTCTAGTGTCATTTTCTTCGGCAAAAGATTCTACCTCCTCTTTGATTTTCCTCCCATATTCATATTCACCTTCACCAGCAGTAGTAGCAGGAGAAGACATGTCACAAATATGCTTTATTTTAGAATTATATTTGTGTACATTTATAGAATTCAGTCATCTGTCATAGAGAAAATAATATGGCAGTTGCTTCTCATTCCAGCACACTTGACCAGGCTCCTCCTGTTTATAGTAAACAGAAGCTTCGTCCTAGTCACAGCTAGCTTGCTCGAGGCAATGCAATTCAAACATAACTTCATTTTAGATTACATTTCGTTTTGAAATGACACCTTTTGGACTTCACTCTACGTGTCATCTTTGTGGACGGTCGTTAGCAGCAGTCTTGTGTCTTGTCACACGAAGCAATGCTGCCACCTGTTGAATTCAATACAATTCTACATATTATATACTCTATGATCTTGTATCTTTAAATAATTTTCTGTGTTAGAGATGTCAAAAATGTATTTGTAGTATAGTCACAGTATACTATATATACATACACACACATATATACATATAGATATATATTAGATGTTTACTTGAAAAATCATATTTTTTTTTATAGAAAACAAAGGTGGAATGGAACATTTTCTTTTATTTCAAGGTAATGAGAAATCCTACAATTTTATGTATAATGAAAGGAATAACAAAGTATAAGAACAAGACACATTACAGATATTTCAATAATTATCTTCAAATAGCTTTTCACCAGTATGAGTTTTTTCATGACCTTTCAAATTACTTTCATGTATGAATGATTTAGAGCAAAGTTCTTTTCCCTCATGAATTCTACTCTCTCGAATTGGAATAGTATTCAGGACTAAGTATTTCCTTCATCTCTTTCACATTTTTATTGATGATCTCTTTATTTCCAACAACAGTCTGTTTAAAATCGGTTTTTCCATTAACCAGCTGTCGCACCCCTATGAACGACAACCCTCAGAAGTCGAAACTTGTGCGAGCTAAGGATTAACGAGGTCTTACCTTTTGACGTATGATTCCTTGGTTTCAAAACGAAATCTTCCATTATCTGTCGAGGACATGAGGAGTTCTACAATTTCGTGTATAATGAACTTTTGAAACATTTAACAAAGTATAAGAACAAGACGCATACAGATATTTCATTAAAATATTGAAAATTATCTTCTAATTATCTTTCAATAAACTAATATTTGATGGAAACGGCTAATACTTGATGAAAATCCATTTATAAGGTATTTACAGTTTATAAAAAATAACACGTGTTTTGGTATACAATCAATAACTTCTTCAGATTTGTTTAGTACTATCATATACATATACATACAACTTGAAAGGAAGCTATTTCAGAACTTTAAAGAACATAGAATATATGAGATGTTCTTTTTAACAATATTTTATTTTACTGCTGCTCTTAGAAATTGAAATCCTTTTCAACAATTATGAATTATGTCATGCAATTTTAAAATATTATTTACACTGAAATATTTAGAATGTAATTTACACTAAAATGGTTGTCATATATTTTCAGATCAACTTTTTCATTGTAATGATTTTTCTTCAGTGTGAATGAACGATTTAGAGCAGATTTTACACTGAAATGGTCTTTCACCAGTATGAATTCTTTCATGCAATTTCAAACTATTTTTCGCAGTGAATGATTTAGAGCAGATTTCACATTGAAATGGTTTCGTGTCAGAATGATTTTTTTTGTGACTTTTTAAATCACTAGTTTCAAAGGATGCGCAAATTTCATGATGAAGTGGGAGCTTTTCCGTATGCTGGTTTTCAACAGATACCACATCAGTTCTTTCCTTCATATTTCTTGAGAAAATTTCGTTTCCCTCACAAATTCTACTCTCTCTAATTGAATTGGAATAGTATCCAGAACTAAATATTTCCTTCATCTCTTTCATACTTTCATTGATAACTTCCTCTTCTTTTGTCTCTTCCTTGATTTGGAAATGAAATTCTTCGGGATCTGTAAAAAATACTAGTTCCATGAAGAAAGAAAAGTAAATTATTTCACATCACCGACACATTCTCATTCGTGATGTCACAAAACATAAATTTTTCAACATATCCATAGGTACTGAGTATTTTTTTAGATTTTCTGTTGGCATGTATTGGTCTTAGGAATCAAAGTTGATGAGATTTTTCACATGACTTGATTTTCACTAGAACTGATTGATCTTATATAAAAAAAGCTTTCCTCATACTTTTCTGTGCCTTTTCTAGATATACATACAAAATCACCAATTAATCATTCCACATTGCTTTAGTGCAAGTTCATCCTCTTCCAATATAACCAAAAATAAAAAAGTGTAAGTTTTCAACAGCTGGAGATAATTGAATCAAAGCTATTTTCTGGGTTTGTTGGCCGTGGTTTGCAGATTCACATTCAATTAATAATTTGACACTTTAGAACATTGGACACATGTGATGAACAATAATATGAATCTGATTAGGGGCTCTACTTCTCAAGACTATAGCAACTCTTCTGCAAAAGTAACTTCTTCACCTCAGTTTTATCTCTGACTCAATTTTTCCCATAGACGACGGTATGTTATTATAACAGTTTATTGCATTGAATAGTGAGATGTATCTAAAATGAACCGTTTCATGTGGAGGAATATCCGAATTTGTGAAAAATGTATTGATATTTCAAGTAAAAGAGGCAAAGTAGTTTTTAATTGTTTGATTGAACAATTTGCAGAATTAAATTTGTTGAAGTCAAACAAGTCATTTATATAGTTGAACAGTTGTCCCAGAACAGAACCTTGAGGAACTCCTACAGTTACATGTACGATACTTGAATATTTAACTATAGCTATTTGACTACTTTCTATCTTTCATGTATATCGCCAAGCCCAATATTCTTTGAATGAACATAAAAATATGTGTTTTTATAACAGATTTGTGATTGTCAGCAAGTAGGTTACTGTCAACTCAGTTATCGATAACTAAGATACAACTTTCCTTGAGGCTTCTGACATTTTTTTTTTTTTGTAAAAATATTTTTCATCACTATTCCTATTCCTTCTTCTCAACCTTTTACTGAAAAATATGTTAAGTGCCTTCAAATTCTAATACATATCCTCACCTTGCATAGCATTAGACTCATTCTGGCATTGACAATTACAGCTGCCTTTCAAAGTAACAGGGCTAAAAAAATCCTTTGGACTAAGTACATTTCCTCCACACACCTCACAATATAAGCCTTCCTTCATTTCTTCCTTGCATTCAAATTTCAGATCATGATAACCAACATCAGTATCTTCACTCTTTATCTGTTCTGGATAAAATTCATTCCTTGAGGTAATCACTTGAAGTGCATCATATTTTTCTTCAGAATTGTGAGTGTCATTTTCTTCCACAAAAGATTCTACCTCCTGTTTAATTTTCCTCCCACATCCATATTCACCATTAGTTGTACCAGGAGTAGCCATGTCACACAGTCACAAATTATGTTCTTTTAGAAAATATACTTGTGTCTATTTGTAGAAAGTAGTCACCTGTCGGAGGAAAAATATATATCCCCTTTGCATTCACTGACATAACCTATAGCTTATAAGGTTATGTTGATATTCCTTCTACCTCTCTCTATCTCTATTATGGCTGTTGCTTCTCATTTGAGTGCATTTGACCAGGTTTCTCCTGTTTTTAGTGTACAGAAGTTTCGTCAGGGAGCACAGTTGTCGTGATTGAGGCATAGCAATTCAAACATACCTTCATTTTGAACTTACACCTTTTGGACTCCACTCCGATTACGGCATTCACGTGCCATTTTTGCAGACGGTCGTTATCCGTTTTTCCGTTAACCAGCTATCACATCCCTACGAATGACAACCCTCAGAAGTCGGAACTTGTGCAAGCTAAGGATTAACGAGGTCTTACCTTTTACCGTGTGATTCCTTGGTTTCAAAACGAAATATTCCGGGATCTATCGAGGTCATGAGGAGTTCCACAATTTCGTGTATAATGAACTTTTGAAACATAACAAAGTATAAGAACAAGACGCATACAGATATTTCATTTAAATATTGAAAATTATCTTCTAATTATCTTTCAATAAACTAATATGTGATGGAAACGGCTAATACTTGATGAAAATCCATTTAATAACGTATTTACAGTTTACAAAACAATAACACGTGTTTCGGTATACAATCAATATCTTCTTCAGATTTGTTCAGTACTATCATTTACATATAACTTGAAAGGAAGCTATTTCAGATCTTTTAAGAACATAAGATATGAGTTGTTCTTTTCAACAATGTTTTATTTTACTGTTGCTCTTAGAAATGAAATCCTTTTTAACAATTATAAATTTTGTCATGCAATTTTAAAAAAACATTTACACTGAAATATTCAGAATGTAATTTACACTAAAATGGTTGTCATATATTTTCAGATCAACTTTTTCATTGTAATGATTTTTCTTCAGTGTGAATTTTTTCATGTCTTTTCAAATTATATTTCTCAGTGAACGATTTAGAGCAGATTTTACACTGAAATGGTCTTTTACCAGTATGAATTCTTTCATGGGATTTCAAAGTACCTCCTCGAATGAATGATTTAGAGCAGATTTTACACTGGAATGATTTATCGCCAGTATGAATGTTTTCATGTCTTTTCAAACTACTTTTCCCTGTGAACGATTTGTAGCAGGTTTTACATTGAAATGGTTTTTCGCCAGTATGAATATTCTCATGTCTTTTCAAATCACCAAATGGTTTATTATGAATATTTTCATGTCTTCCCATATGCTGGTTTTCAACAGATATCACATTAGTTCTTTCTTTCATATTTCTTGAGCAAATTTCGTTTTTCTCACGAATTCTACTCTCTCTAATTGAATTGAAATAGTATCCAGAACTGAAAATTTCCTTCATCTCTGTCAAATTTTCATTGATAACTTCCTCTTTATTTTCAACCACTGTCTCTTCCTTGGTTTCAAAACAAAATATTTCGGGATCTGTAAAAAAAATACTAGCTTCATGAAGAAAGAAAAGCAAATTATTTCACATCATCAACACATTCTTATTCATGATGTGACAAAACATACATTTTTCAACATATCCATACTGAATTTTTTTTAGATTTTCTGTTTGCATGTCTTGGTCTTAGGAATCAAGTATTTTTTTAGATTTTCTGTTGGCATGTATTGGTCTTAGGAATCAAAGTTGATGAGATTTTTCACATGACTTGATTTTCACTAGAACTGATTGATCTTATATAAAAAAAGGTTTCCTCATACATATAAATACATAACCATACAACTTTGCTTTAGTGCAAGTGCATTCTCATCCAATATAACCAAAAATAAAAAAGTGTAAGTTTTCAACAGCTGGAGATAATTGTGTCAAAGCTATTTTCCGGGTTTGTTGGCCGTGGTTTGCAGATTCACATTTATTTATTAATTTGACACTTTAGTACACTGGATACATGTGATGATCAATAATATGAATCTGATTAGGGGCTCTACCTCTCAAGACTATAGCAACACTTCTGCAAGAGTAATTTCTTCACCTCAGTTTTATCCCCGACTCTATTTTCCTCATAGACGACGGTAAATTATTATAACAGTTTATTGCATTGAATAATGAGGAGCATCTAAAATGAACCGTTTCATGTGGAGGAACTCGCAACAAATTTCCGTAGCAGGTGTCTCTTGCATGAATATCTGAATTTGTAAAAAATCTATTGATATTTCAAGTAATAGACGCAAAGTAGTTTTCAATTGTTTGATTGAACAATATGCAGATTTAAATTTGTTGAAGACTTCTTGTATGTGACCGCCCCAGTTGCCCCCTCCTGGGTTGAGTGCCCTGAGTTAAAGTCTTCTCCAAACGGTTAATAGGTGTAGAACATCCCATCTCGTCCATTCACCCCCACTCCTCCGGAGCGGTCCTCAACTTACTGATGGTCACTTCAGCAAGATTGAGATCTGACCATTTTTAGTCTAAGGTCAGCCTTTAGGTGCCTTTGCTTTCTGATCTGTTATTTGCTTTTATCTTGACTTTCCTTTCCCCAGTTGTTTCAAACAAGTTATTTATATAGTTAAACAGTGGTCCCAGGACAGAACCTTGAGGTTTGTAAAAAATATTTTTCATAACTAGGTATTCCTATTCCTTCTCAAACTTTTACTAAAAAATATGTAAGTTAAGTGATTTCAAATTCTAATACATATCCTCACCTTGCATAGCACTAGCCTCATTCTGGCATTGACAATTACAGCTGCCTTTTGAAGAACCAGGGCTGAAAAAATCCCTTGGACTAAGTACATTTCCTACACACACCTCACAATATAAGCCTTCCTTTATTTCTTCCTTGCATTCAAATTTCACATCATGATAAACAACATCAATGAATTCACTTTTTATCTGTTCTGGATAAAATGCATTCCTTGAGGTAAGCACTTGAAGTTCATCACTTTTTTCTTCAGAATTGCGAGTGTCATTTTCTTCGACAAAAAATTTCACCTCCTGTTTAATTTTCCTTCCATACAGATATTCACCTTCACCAGTAGTAGTACCAGGAGTACCCATATCACAAATTATGTTCTTTTTCTTTTAGATGGTGGAAGGTCATCTTCCATCAATTTATAGAATGTAGTCATCTGTCAGAAAGAAGTTGCTTCTCATTTGAGTGCATTTGACCAGGCTTCTCCTGTTTTAAGTGTACAGAAGTTTCGTCAGGGGGCACAGCTGTCGTGATTGAGGCAATGCAATACAAACATAATTTCATTTCAAACTTACACCTTTTGGACTCCACTCCGATCACGGCATTCACGTGCCATTTTTGCAGACGGTAGCTATCAGCTCAACCGTAGTCTATCGTGATCGGAGAACAATAAAATCCACTGAACTGTTTATATATACAGTTCAGTGATAACATCGCAGTTTCTTGCCTCTTGGGCGCATTTCCCAAATTTTCTCCTGGCATCAGTTGACAGGACTATCACCAAATAATAATTCAAATACTATTTAAAACACTACAAGCGATATACTCCATTTGGACTTCAACATGTAGGTCACAATATGGTTTTTTTTTGGTTATAATCAGATGCATATTCTACGATATTAGATAAATTATTATAAACAACATAATTCCATATAATTCGAAAGTTTAACAGATAATCAGGAAGTTAAACGTAGTCAGAACAAGTTATATCACGACATCCCTTTGCAGGAACTCATCAAATCTATAATATTCTATAATCTAAGTAAACGAAAAAGTTACTTTTCCTGCTTTTGCATTAGAAAATTTGTGACAATTTCACTGACTTTAATTTATATTTCATGTTCAATACTGGTTATTGAATAATTTTTCATCATTTCCAGTTCTGACAGGTAATATGAGGTAAATTCTAAATGTAGTTTTGCATTTTTCTCGGAACTCTCATACTCGTTCCACATTCACCTTGTGAATCATGAATTATAAAAACACCAATATGTGTTATCCCTTCACTTTTGTTTCAATTATGGATCATTAGGCGTCGACTAACTCTGGGAATTGATGTGGAATATCAACACAAGATATAGGTTTTCCTTTTAATCAAACAGCGTGAACGCCATTTCCCTATTGTTTTCATTCAACCTATAATTAGAATAAAATTTCAAAAGGACGCCATTTGAGAACTTGTCTAATAACTCACCCAAATTATTTCAAAAATATTTTCGAAATCGATTGTAACAAATCTTCCCAGGTATTGGTTTCAGAGAGCATCTCCGCGATAACTCCTACTTTTCAAGCAACCCGACAAATATCTAGGCGTCCATCTAGTGGACCGATGACTATTGGTGGGAAAATATGCGTCCATTAATAAAACCCGCCTAGTCGACTGGAACAGCAGCGTCAATGGCATATATTCTGTTGTATATGTTGTAATATAACAAAGAATATTTAAAAACGTTAAATATAGTTCAACTAGGGACAGTAGTACAACATTTGCTTCCACGGCCGGAATCATGAATTTTTAGAATTATGGGGTTTCTCAAATGATTCGACTTTACCTGTTAATGAGGTATCATTGAAAATATCCAGTCTCGAAGAACTGAAATGAAATCCAAATATTGTCTGTCAAAATAAATCTAAACTATTTTTCAACGTCACAGCTAACTTATACATAACATTCAAGTTTTACAAAACATCAAATATGATTATACAGAATGTGAAAAATTTAAACTAAATAAACTCCAACGTCAAAGAAAAGTTGATCTGCAAGCTTATGCAGATGATCCTGTCATCCTGGCAGGGTCCACGTCGGAAAGAGTAGCTTGTAATATCCTCCATAGCGACAAACAAAGATGACATATTTCAGAGGTATGCTGTTCTGTTTACTTATGTTCCGAGACATTCTGTAACATTAGACATTTTGTGCACCCAACCTATCTTCCTCTATATAAATAAATAACAAAACAACTGTTGTTTATGTGGCTCGTGGAGGTGGTATTGAACTATAATTTATATTTTGGCTCAATTGTTGATTTATAAAGATAATTTTCCTTTTTTAAAGTAGAAAATCGACTTGATATAGGCGCTGTTGCCAACATGTAAATTAGTAACAAATCTCTTTTAAAATTAAAACCCAACATTTGAAACATCAATTTGAATACTTTTCGAAGTGAATTTGAAAAATTCATGAATTGAAGTCTAGGTACTTTATTTTGTTCAAACTTGCATTTGCTATAATAACCCAAATTGAGGAAGCTTCCTCATTAGACGACCCATCCCAATTTCGAATTTAATCGAGGATTCAACTTACTACAATGGTGGTAAACTGTTCAATCATTAACCATTAGAAATGAGATCTGCAAATTTAAGCAACGTTCATTTCAAAAAGGCGGTGAAGAACCTACTTGTTGACAAACCCTATTATAGTTTGGAAGAGTATTTTAGCGAATCCTTTCAATAATATATTAGATATTTATTATATGTACTATCACTTAATGCATGATGTTATTTTATCTATACATTTTCAGAACTTTTTTTTTATATTTACATTTATACATTTTTGGAAGTTTTTAATATCTACATTTTTATTTTTTTAGTACTTTTTCTATATTAATATTGTAATTCTTGGATTTTATCAATGAGATGCAAATCTTCGGACAATAAAGTATATTTTGATTTGAACTGAAACACATTCTGGATATTCTCTACCTTTTTCAGTCAATAATTATGTCAGTTTACTTAATATAATAATAATGAGTCTCGGAAATAATAAACAAACTTCTAAATAAACTGATAATAACCTTGAGAAGTAAAACTTATGCCAACGTAAGTCATAAAAAAGATATGTATTTATAAATACGATCTCATTTATTCATATACAAAGTATATGAACATATGTGAATAAAAAGAAAATAAATACATAAATAGGTGGAATGGAACATTTTTTTTTATTTCAAGGTAATGAGAAGTCCTACAATTTTATGTATAATGAACATATGGAACGAATAACAAAGAATAAGAACACAGCACATTACAGATATTTCATTAAAAAATTGAAAATTATCTTCTAATAAACATTTACTTATTTATTCTCAAGAAAATACGATTGTTTATGGGGGGAGGAAGTAAAAAATATATCCATATATGTGATGGAAATGGCTGACACTTGATGAAAATCCATAACCAACGTATTTACAGTTTACAAAACAATCACACGTGTTTCAGTATACTATAGCTTCTTCAGGCTTGTTTAGTACTATCATATACATACAACTAGAAAGGAGAGTATTTCAGAACTTCAAAGAACATAACAGATATATTATATGAGTTGTTTCAACAATTTATGAAATGCTTTTTATTTATTATGAATTATTTCATGTAATTTCAAATTATTTCAACTGAAATATTTAGAACAGAATTTAAGCTAAAATGGTTTGCCAGTATATATTTTTTTATGTATATTCAGATACTTATCCACTGAACAAATTTTTTTATTGAAATGGTTTATCTTCAGTGTGAATTTTTTCATATCTTTTCAAATGACCATTTTGAATAAAATATTTAGACAATTTTACACTATAATAGCTTTTCGACAGTATGAATTTTTTCATGGGAATTTACTTTGAAATGATTTATCACCAGTATGAGTTATTTATGAGCTTTCAAATTACTTCCACTTATGAATCATTTAGAGCAAAGTTTTTCCCTCATGAATTCTACTCTCTCTAATTGAATTGGAATTGTATCCAGCACATTTTTATTGACCTCTTTATTTCCAACAACTGTCTCTTTCTTGGTTTCAAAACGAAAAATTCTGAGATCTGTGGAGGTTATGAGAAGTTCTAAAATTTTCATGTATATAATGAACACTTGAAACATATAACAAAGTATAAGAACAAAACGCATACAGATATTTCATTAAAATATTAAAAATTATCTTTTAAACATCTTTCAATAAACTAATATGTGATGGAAATGGTTAATACTTGATGAAAATCCATTCATAACGTATTCACTGTTTACAAAACAATAACATGTGTTTCGGTATACAATCAATAGCTTCTTCAGATTTGTTTAGTACTATCATATACAACTTGAAAGGAAGCTATTTAAGAACTTTTTAAGAACATAAGATATATGGGTTGTTCTTTTTAACAATGTTTTATTTTACTGTTGCTCTTAGAAATGAAATCCTTTTTAACAATTATGAATTTTGTCATGCAATTTTAAAATATTATTTACGCTGAAATATTTAGAACGTAATTTAGACTGAAATGGTTGTCTATATTTTCAGAACAACTTTGAACAAATTTTTCATTGTAATGGTTTTTCTTCAATGTGAATTTTTTCATGTCTTTTTAAATTACTATTTCGAATAAAAGATTTAGAGCAAATTATACACTGAAATGGTCTTTCACCAATATGAATTTTTACATGTCTTTTTAAATTACTATTTCGAATAAAAGATTTAGAGCAAATTATACACTGAAATGGTCTGTCACCAATATGAATTATTTCATGTTTTTTCAAATTAGCCCCATGAATGAACGATTTAGAGCAGACTTTACACTGAAATGGTCTTTCACCAGTATGAATTGTTTCATGGGATTTCAAATTACTTTCTTGAATGAATGATTTAGAGCAGATTTTACACTTGAATGGTTTATCGCCAGAATGAATCTTTTCATGTATTTTCAAATCACTTCCTTGAGTGAATGATTTAGAGCAGATTTTACACTTAAAGGGTTTATTGCCAGTATGAATTTTTTCATGTCTTTTCAAACTATTTTTCCCTGTGAACGATTTATAGCAGATTTTACATTGAAATGGTTTTTCGCCAGTATGAATATTCTCATGTCTTTTCAAATCACCTCCTTGTATGAATGATTTAGAGCAGATTTTACACTTAAATGATTTATCGCCAGTATGAATTTTTTCATGATATTTCAAATCACTTCCTCGAATGAACGATTTAGAGCAGACTTTACACTGAAATGGTCTTTCACCAGTATGAATTTTTTCATGGAATTTCAAATTACCTCCTTGAATGAATGATTTAGAGCAGATTTTACACTTAAAGGGTTTATCGCCAGTATGAATTTTTTCATGTCTTTTCAAAGCACTACAACGCAAGAATGCATTAGAGCAGACTTTACACTTGAATGGTTTATTGCCAGTATGAATATTTTCATGTCTTCCCGTATGCTGGTTTTCAACAGATATCACATCAGTTCTTTCCTTCATATTTCTTGAGCAAATTTCATTTCTCTCACGAATTCTACTCTCTCTAATTGAATTGAAATAGTATCCAGAACTGAATATTTCCTTCATCTCTTTCAAATTTTCATTGATAGCTTCCTCTTCATTTCCAGCAACTCTCTCTTCCTTGGTTTCAAAACAAATTATTTCAGGATCTGTAAAAAAAAATACTAGTTTCATGAAGAATGAAAAGCAAATTATTTCACATCATCAACACATTCTCATTTATGTCACAAAACATACATTTTTCAACATATCCATACTGAGTATTCTTTTTAGATTTTCTGTTGGCATGTCTTGGTCTTAGGAATCAAAGTTGACGACATTTTTCACATGACTTGATTTTCACTAGAACTGATTGATCTCATATAAAAAAAGGTTTACACATACTTCTCTGTGCCTTTTCTGGATATATATACAAAACCATTCAACTTTGCTTTAGTGCAAGTGCATCCTCATCCAATATAACCAAAAATAAAAAAGTGTAAGTTTTCAACAGCTGGAGATAATTGTGTCAAAGCTATTTTCTGGGTTTGTTGGCCATGGTTTGCAGATTCACATTCAATTAATAATTTGACACATTAGTACATTGGACACATGTGATGAACAATAATATGAATCTGATTAGGGGCTCTACTTCTCAAGACTATAGCAACACTTCTGCACGAGTAATTTCTTCACTGACTCTATTTTCCCCACAGACGACGGTAAATTATTATAACAGTTTATTACATTGAATAATGAGGAGCATTTGAAATGAACCGTTTCATGTGGAAGAACTCGCAACAAGTGTCCGTAGCAGATGTCTCTAGCATGAATATCCAAATTTGTGAAAAATCTATCGATATTTCAAGTAAAAGAGGCAAAGTAGTTTTCAATTGGTTGATTGAACAATATGCAGATTTAAATTTGTTGAAGACTTTTTGTATGTGACCGCCCCAGTTGCCCCCTCCTGGGTTGAGTGCCCAGAGTTCAAATCTTCTCCACACGGTTAATGTGTGCAGAACATCCCATCTCGTCCATCCACCTCCCCTCATCCGGAGCGGTCCTCAACTTATTGATGGGCACTTTAGCAAGATTGACATCTGACCTCTTTTAGTCGAAAGTCAGCTTTAGGTGCTTTTGCTTTCTGATCTGTTATTTGCTTTCATCTTGACTTTCCTTTCCCCAGTTGTTTCAAACAAGTTATTTATATAGTTAAACAAGGACTGAACCTTGAGATTTGTAAAAAATATTGTTCCTAACTAAGTATTCCTATTCCTTCTTCTCAAACTTTTACTAAAAAATATGTTACTTAAGAGATTTCAAATTCTAATACATATCCTCACCTTGCATAGCACTAGACTCATTCTGGCATTGACAATAACAGCTGCCTTTTGAAGTACCAGGGCTAAAAAAATCCCTTGGACTAAGTACATTTCCACCACACACCTCACAGTATGAGCTTTCCTTTATTTCTTCCTTGCATTCAAATTTCAGATCATGATAATCAACATCTTCACTTTTTATCTGTTCTGGATAAAATTCATTCCTTGAGGTAAACACTTGAAGTGCATCACATTTTTCTTCAGAATTTCGAGTGTCATTTTCTTCGACCTCCTGTTTAATTTTCCTCTCATATCCATATTCACCCTCACCAGTAGTAGTACCAAGAGTAGCCATGTCACAAGTCACAAATTATATTCTTTTAAAAATATAATTATCGCATGACAATGTCCTTACCTAACAATGCTGTGACAATGTGTAGTTTTCACAGACTACTTAGAGTAAGTGGTTTGTGGTAGTTATCTGTCAGAGAGAAAATATATCTATAGATCTGTCCGAGATGCTGTCAATATTAAATCAAAATGGCTGCCTGTAGCCATACATGTTGTTTGTTCTAATGGAAAGAAAACTAGAAAAAACCATGATCAACTTGTCTTTGTGAATGATTATGTTGCTGCGCTGAAATTCGTTGTCTGAGGCTGATTTTACATATCAATCGTCTTTCATAACATGAAATCATGCATACAACGTGTTGTGTTGTAAATTGCGGAAGCCGTGGGGATCGTGGTCGGATGAACTTTTGCAAAATACCTTGTGAATTACATTTTCACATAGAGAGGACCTGAAAGAACTTTCAAAAAGGAGACGCCAAAAATGGATACACGCTGTCAGAAAAAAAGATCTCACAGAAGTCAAACTTCTACATTTTCACCTGAAATGATATATTTCATAAATATATAATATCCCTCCGATTATCAACTGAACCAACCGCCACTGTTTTATGGTCCAACTTATTTCAAATGTAAATAAACTCTCCATAACCTCTCATTACCCGCCACCCCCCTCTCCCAAAAGTTGTATAGAAAAGGATGGTACGATAACCGTTTCAAAATACATGTATTGTATTGGTAAAGGCATGGCAACTCTGTCTTATTATTACTCTGAGGGTGGTGTATTGGCATCAAAGCCAATTATGAGTTGTAGTCCCTTTGCTTGGCAGGCTCTAACCAACTCTTCCACTTCGCTGGTTGGTGGTGGTTCCGGATTGTCGAAGGTGATGATTTCCTCAGGTCCGCTCTCGCCAGCCGTCTTTATTTTGACTGCCGTCATGATGTCTCTGGAACACAAATTACTCAACGGCAGTATATTTATTCCTTTACGGATAATATAAGAGGCTCTACCCCTCAAGCGTATAGCAACACCTCTGCAAAAGTAATTTCTTCACCTCAGTTTTACCTCTGGACGGCAAATTATAATTATAAGTTTATTACACTGAATAATGAGGGGCATCCTAAATTAATCATTTCTTGTGGAGGAATTCGTAACAGGTTTCCGTGGCGGGTGTCTCTAGAATGAATATCCGAATATGTAAAAAATATATTGATATTTCAAGTAAAAGAGGAAAAAGTAGTTTTCAATTGATTGATTGAACAATATGCAGATATAAATTTTTTAAAGACTTTTTGTATATGACCGCCCCAGTTTAGATTTTTGTCAAACGATATTCCAAAAAACAACTCAGCTAGCTAACTTATGAAATAACCTAAACTGTGCATGAAATACTGCTGAAATCTCTTACAATAAATGATTTCATTCAAATAAATTTAGATTTATTCAAAATTAGTTGGTTGTGTTGATTCCAAGCACTACTGATGTATTTATTTTTTCTGGTAACTCTGCTTCATTTTTCCGAAGCATCAGCAAACATGGTTATATGACATTCAGAAAATAATTCAAACAAGTCATTTATATAGTTAAACAGTGGTCCCAGGACAAAACCTTGAGGAACTCCTACAGTTACATCTATGATACTTGAATATTCAACTGTAGTTATTTGACTACGATCTTTCTTCCATGTATATCGCCAAGCCCAATATTCTTTGAATGAATATTAAAAAACGAGTTTATGTAACATATTTGTGATTGTAAACTAGTATATCAATATCAACTCAGTTATCCGTAACTCAGATACAATTTTCCTTGAGGCTTTCGACTTTTCTTTTTGGATAATATTTTTTTCATGACTATTCAAATTCCATGTTCCTCTTTCTCAAAAATTTTACTAAAAAATATCTTAGTTAAGTGGTTTCAAATTCTAATACATATCCTCACCTTGCATAGCATTAGACTCGTTCTGGCATTGACAATAACAGCTGCCTTTTGAAGTACCAGGGCTGAAAAAATCCCTTGGACTAAGTACATTTCCTCCACACACCTCACAATATAAGCCTTCCTTTATTTCTTCTTTGCATTCAAATTTCAGATCATGATGAACAACATCAATATCTTCACTTTTTATAAGTTCTGGATAAAATTCATTCCTTGAGGTAATCACTTGAAGGGCATCACATTTTTCTTCAGAATTGCGAGTGTCATTTTCTTCGACAAAAGATTCTACCTCCAGTTTAATTTTCCTCCCATATCCATATTCACC